TGAAATCTGAGATAACTGTAATTTTAAAGATATCGTTTAAGTGATGCTTAGTGGTCAGTCAAAACCAACACCGTGCTTCAAAGAGAGAGCTGCAAGCCCAGCTGTAACCAAGCATGGTGAGAAAAGCAGGCAAGCTCCTCTTTCACTCACAGCAAGAGACTGTTTCTGTGAGGACAGCATAGCAATCACTGTGGGGACAGGGTTTTGGATGCTGGCTTCAGTTAGCCACATCTAGGGCTTTCCAGGTCACTCAGCTCTGTGTTTCATAGGCTGGTCCTGACATAAAGCTGCTGCACCCTTCTGCATTAGCTGCTTCACACTCCTCATGCTTCCAAGCCTTGTTTTCCACCACACAGGACAAGATAGACAGGAAACCCACAGCCAAGGAACACGGAGACTGTTTCAGAAGCACAGAAACACTCTTCCAGTGGGAGCTCTGTCCTGGTGCCCACATCTTCCTCCACAGCATTAAAAATTGAATGCTTCGGGTGTCTCTGGTATTTCCTGCAACACAAAGTACAAAACATTCTGCTGATTGCTCCATCCTGGACTCAAGAGCTCTGCAGCCTCCCAGCAGTGGCAGCGCTGACTTCTGATCAGTTTTCATCACAGCTCGAAGTGTCAGGCTGTTAGTATGATTCTGATATAAGGCTGTACCTTTCCCCTTTCCTTCATTTCATGCTAATTTGCCTTTTCACTTAACACTGGTATTTACAAATTTAAAATACATGTTCCTTTTTAGTCATCCATTAAATATCTGCTTTGTCTTTAGTGAGAGTGGAAAGAGGCTCAGCCATTTCCTTGTTGCCTGTGAAACTCATTTGAGAGTTATCACCAGATCAACATGTCAGCAGTGTCCTCTTTTAGACATTACCCCTAAATAACTGAGGGCTGCAGCAGCCCAATAGCCCCTGTGTGAAATTCCCCCTCCCCACTTCTCTGGAGTGAAGGTTACACCAAGTCCACAAGACAAGCCATATGCTTGCAGGAGAGGAGGGAGACAAGAGCAACACTCAGAGGTCCATTTCATGTTATCATTACCTAAGCAGTTCTCAGTCTAACCCCCAAAATCTCACAGGTGATTCCGTTTTCCCCCACCCTCTTTCACAAGATTGAAATCACAGCATGCAGAATGTTTTGGATACAGCAGAAGCTGTGCCTCCTAAGCCTCCCCAGGCCTTAAGAAATGAGGCTATGACAGTTTCAGGGTACTCCATACAGCTCAAGGGCCTTGTTTTATATAATTTTTTTTCTATTTCTTAATTTCTTCCACTTCTCAAAGTAATTTCACTTAATCAGTATGGATGGCTGGGTGAGTGGCTTTTTGTCCCTCATCCACAAGTTATCCCTGGATCACAGGGTTCTTTGCTGAGGAGACACCACCTTCAGAGCTGATTGAGTAGAACTTCCCTTCTCCCAGCAACTGGAGTTTAAGTTCTGATTCTGATTTGGTAAATTTGGGAGAAACATTCCTATTTTAACTTATAAAACCTGAGGGAAAAAAAAAACAAAACAAATGTAATAGCTAATTATGTATTCCAAGCCCCTCATAAGGCACCCAGTAAATGTGTCCTCCCCAATATAAGCAGATCATCTGCAATAACCATCAGCTCCTTCTGGATAGCTGGCTGCTCCTTTCACTGTCTGAACATTCAAATAGAGGTCTTTACAAAGCAGTGACCCAGAATAAACACGTAACTAGAAATGCTGCCTGTTTATGAGCTGTCATTTGACATTACTGAAACTCAAAAAATCCTCTTTGTAAAATATCTATTGATTTTGTCACTGACTGCTAACATTGGCGTAGTGATAGAATTCATGTCTCATATGTACTATTATAGAATCATAGAATCATAGAATAGTTAGGGTTGGAAAGGACCTTAAGATCATCCAGTTCCAGCCCCCATGCCATGGGCAGGGACACCTCACATTAAACCATGTCAACCAAGGCTCTGTCCAACCTGGCCTTGAACACTGCCAGGCATGGAGCATTCACAACCTCCCTGGGCAGCCCATTCCAGTGCCTCACCACCCTCACAGTAAAGAATTTCTTCCTTATATCCAATCTAAACTTCTCCTGTTTCAGTTTGAACCCATTACCCCTTGTCCTATCACTACAGTCCCTAAAGTTTAAGTTATTAAATCTTTATTAATATCCATTAGAAAGAGCAAAAGCTGTCTGAATTTAAGACCATTGTAAATAGAATTTCCTCAGTATGTTTGTTCATTGAATGATCAAAGCAATCCAAAGTGGAAATAACAAAATACTGTATAGAGTGTAATTACATAGAGAATATGTTAAAAATGTAATGCAAAATCTGTGTTACTACATGTGCCAAAACCACAGCACAACACTCTGTAAGAGCATATTGTGTACATGTGTACCAGTCTAACAAAGCTCTGGGGACAAAAAGCAGGGGACCAGAGCACAGGACAGTATTTCATCACTAGCCACCTGCTTTGGGAAGCATTCCTTGTTCTTATCAAGTTTTATATTAAATATATTGTACCTAGAAGATGAGAAGGATGTAAGAGAAAAACCTTGACAATTAAGAAGTTCTGTATTTTATTTTGCGTGGGTAGCTCATAAAATGCCTTCAAGGCCTCTCCTTCAGTTTTGTGCTACAGTGCTGGATGTCCATGCAGCTGACATCACATACAGCCCCAGGTGCTGTCAGTGCTCCCAAGGCAGCGGTTACTGGACCAAAGCGGGTTTGGCCTCCTGGTATTGTTAATTCTTTCCCTTTTCTTCCCCTCCTCCCCCAGCTACAAGGTCCTGTGCTGGTGTGTGCTGGTCCTGAGCTCAGCTCATGTGGCTGACCTACCCTTGCCCCCAGGCACAGAGAAGCTGTACCACGCACCATCAACTGACCGCTTCCTGGGGCTGAAGAACAAGGCACGCTGCAGCAGCGCTGGCACGAGCATGGAGCTGCTTTTGCAAGGAAGCACATGGGAATTCACACAGAGCCCAGCCAGGCTGAGCAGCCAGATCGTGTGCAGCTATCAATTAGATTTACAGAGGGTGGTTCAGAAGGTTCACCCAACACCTCCCAGTGAAACAGCACGGATCTGTTTGAAAACACTGTACAGGAAGTTACTGTTGTTGCGGCATTTGCTCAGACTTACAGAAGGCCAAGAGGGGTTTTTCCCCACCCAGGTTATTTTGGCTGCTGAGGTACCAGGGTTGCCAGGGAACTGCTGCAGCAACCACCAGCAGGAAAACAGTCCTTGCATATGGAAAAACACCTCGGGGAAGACATTCATCTCATCTGTTCCTGCTGACTAAGGGTCCTCCATAGGTATAGAAGAAGTTTTGTTCTTTAACTGGGCTATTACTTCTTTTCAGTCATCTCCAACCAAGTCACCTCATTAAACTGAACTTAGACTGTCCTGGAGGTGTGTGGTTTTGGTTTGGTTTAGAATGGTATTTGGCCTGTTTCTTCCTCACCTAACTTCACCATTACATCCTGTGTACACTGCTGTGAGTCCCATGTGCTTCCCAGTGGTGTGCTGCATCAGTTTGGAGTTTTAAGGCCCATATACCTTTGAAGTGGTTATGGTGCTATGCCTTCACCAAGAACAAAGACATTCTCATCCCTTGAAACATTGCACCGCTGAAGAATTTTGTCTACCAGATGGACTGCAAAGTGAAGTATTGCCACAGACGAGAAGTAATTTATGATTTCCATTAATTCCTGCCACCAACCATACTAACTGGCATTTATCAGCAAGGAATGGATGAACAATTAGTCACAGGAATAAAAACAAGGGAGTAGACCCTTGAAATGGAAAGAGGATTATTACTGCTTACAAATCAAAATTATATTGGCTCCTTTTTAAGAGATTAGGTGGGGAATTTATAGGAAACTATGCCAAGAGCTCAAACATGAACCCACTTAATTGTGGGAAAAAATTATAATGGATCTATGTGCTTTGGTGGGTACTGTCAAACTACTGCTGCATGAGACGTTCTTCCAAGATTTAAGTGATGAGGATGAATTGCCTTCAGCCCTTATTGCCAAATAGTCACTCATTTCTACAGTTATTAGGGAGGAATTTCAGTGTAAGAGGAAGATGGAATCCAGCCCTGGGACAGGCAAAGAAACAGCTCCGGCCCTCCCACGTGTCCAACAGCCCAAGTTCCCATGATCTTCCCTCAGAAAAGGACATGCTCAAGTTCTGCTGCACTCGAAGACGCTTGAACATGGTCCCACGGAGCAAAGTGCTTATTGTAGTCCACTGAGCCCATGCAAAGCCAATGACAGTGTCCCTTCCCTCTACACCACCCAGGCTGCATCCCAGGGGCTCTGCAGAGCTGGGATCCACGAACATGAGTTTGTCTGTCCCAACAGTTCTGGTCATTTCCACAGCTTACACTCGGAGCATCGTGTTTCCGGGTTAAAAGATTAGATCTGTAGAACACTGATATGAGGAAATATTCCCTGTGGGTTTTTAAAGAATTCAGAGTCCTTCCCTGAACTATGGTTTTGATCATTTTCTTAATGGAATGCAGCTGGCTGAATGAAAAGGAATAGTCAAGAATCGTTTATTCAGTGACTGATGGGAAGAAGTGTCCCAAATAATATAGTTGTACTCTGTGAAAATGATCTATTAATGAAGGCATTTGTTCATAAGAAGTATGTTCAACAATGGTGGTGAAAATTAATCAAACATGTTACTAGCAATTATTCTCCCACCATTTCTAATTTAGAGATAAAATGTCCTTTAGCTATAGTTTCTATATGAAGTGCACAGGGAAATAATTATTCAGGTACCCGCATCAAAAATAGCTCAGCAACGGATGCATCAGACAATATGAATTAAACCCATTCTGGCTAAAAATGGCAATGTTCTCCTTGGGGTTTTCGCTGCTTTCTAGTTATTTTGCATTATTAATTTGGAGTAATGCTTACACAGAATACCAACAGGAATTTGACAGGAAATTAACGTAGTGACTCCCCCCAGAGATCTTCGATGTTGCTAAGCCCATTTTTCCTTACCCAGAGTTAATGAGTAATGATCTCCTTGGCAATGGTTCCTGGAGTACAGACTTGTACTTGGGTTCCTGTTAAATACAGAAAAATAAGAAGTGTCAGATAACGGAGGTATCGGAGGATTTATCTAAAGAAACTTAGTGAGTAAATATCCTCCAATGCAATGAGTCATTTACTTGCTCCAAACTGTTAAGAATATTAATACAGCTAACTTCAGTTTTAACGAAAGTTTTATATACAAGTAACACTTATTCCTGATCATTCTAAAGATCCTTTCATGTCTCTTCCACATCCAAAAGCAGCCCCCCCTCCAACCAGTTCAGAAGTCCAGGGATTTCTTGATTCTTTCTTTCTCAAGTTGTAGGACAGCTTCTTTCATAGGTGCTGCTCTGGTATTTCATTGCTGAATTTATTGGAGGTGCAAAGGTGAGTGCTGGAAAGTCATTTTCCTGTTGCTCTTGTGCTAAGGAGAAGCTGGCCTTGGGGGCAAACTTACTTGGAGCAGAATTCCCTTGCAAAACCTGAACCGCTGAGCTTGAGCTGAACACCCACTGAAGCTAACAGACCATTGATTCAATCCCACTCACTGTCTGCCGCAGGATGGTGCTGCGGTGGCTCCCAGAGCAAGCAAGCTCCACTTTTCACTCCTCAGTGTGCAACACCTCAGTACTGGTGTTGTGCAGGCCAGGCTCTGAGGCACCGCTGCTTACCTGAGCTGTCAGTGACTTCAGGCGGGAGAGTGAGACCACGGTGGGTATCCTGATCTCCATCCCCTCCAGTGCATTGCAATGGGACCAGAAGGGCACAACAGCCATTTCCAGGATCAGAGCAGTCTTGTCTTTATAGGCTGATCCCTAATATCCACCCCAAGGAGACACAGAATGACAGTGTTCTCTCCCAGAGTAGATAAGATTGTCTTGTCCAGAGAATATTCTTCATCATGAGATGTCCCAGCTAAATGCTAGTGCCAAATTAGATCCAAAGCTAATTTATTTTTGCTCCATAGCTACCTCCAGTAATCCCCTTTTCCCTCTAACCACCCACTCAAGAAGAGCTGGAAGAGGCGGAAGAGGATGCTCAGGATCTTGTGTGGTAGGGGACCAACCAATGTGCAACTTCACCATCACTGAGCATGAGATGAACTAAACACATAAAATCCAAACAGTGTGAAAAGCAGGTTTGTGCCTGTGGTGGTGCTGAGCTGTGTCCCTGCTGCCCCTCCAAGCACGGCTCAGCACCTGCTGAAACCCATGTCAGCGTGGCTTGGCTCAGCACATCCCATCAACAACCAAACAAATGCTTTACCATCAGTTTTCCACATGTGCTGCAACAGCAATAATATATGTAAATAGATCAAACCTTATATGAACTTTTGCATAGACTAGCAATGCGTGATCTAACATCATCTTCCTATTTTATATGTATTAAAAAACGAGATATGCTAACCCCCTTTGAAATCCTCATATTTTTAATGCACAGTGTAAATAAGGTTACTTGGGTTTTTTTTCAATGAACATTTAGAATTACCACTGACATAAGAAAATTCTGTTTGCAAGTCCCATTTCTACACCCTTACAGTCACCTTACTCAGAATGGTCAGTTCCAACAGGGACTGCAGCAGCAGCAAGTCCCAGAAAACACCAGGGGAACTAAAATTCACGTCAGGAATACAAAAATAAAACACATACACTGTTTAAAATGGACAGCCAGACCTGAAAAACTGATCTTACACATCTGGAACTGTACTTCTATCATTAGTGTCACAGGGAGACAATTCACTTATATTCATTTCTGCTCATGTCCATGCACAGGGCCAGGCACCAGTCCCTGGAGTCTTTGAGGGATGCAGTGGTGCAGTGATGCAGCTGGTTTGTGGTGGCTTTCATGGAGGATGGTTACTATGGCCTGGGGCTTCTCAGAGGTGAGACTAGAAGCACCAGAAGCTGTTTCCCAATATTTCTCGTCATGGATTATAACTGAGTTTTTCCACATTCAGGGTTGGTTTTTGCTTATTCCCTCTCCTTTTTAAAAGCAATATTCTATAGTTGCACTTTGATTTACTTTAATAACTAACAAAGGTACTTGTTACTCGTAACAAAGGTACTTTTAATCTGGCCTATGTCTACGTATCCCTCTAATTAAACCTTTCAAGAACCACTTATGTTAGAACTGGTTCTTGAACCACTTCAAGGTAGAATTATCTTATAAAAAAGGCAAAAAGCACATCTCCATCCTGCAAAGCCTTCAGATTAGCTGAGCCATGCTGGGCTCTGTCACCTGGATCTGTGGGAGGAGCCTGGCAGAGTTAGCCCAAAGAGGTGAGTGATTGATAGTCTAGAAAACGAGTTGCAAGTAGAGGAGAGGAAGGGGCAGGGACTCCGAGCTGTGCTTTAAGCCCTTGCTGTCAGACCACATCCCCCCTCAGGGGACTCCCCACAACCCCACATGATGGAGTCCCCCCAGACAGGGCTGAGCTCTCCATCTTGCTGTTCAACATCTGACCCTGAAGAAGTGGCTTCACCTCCCTGGCCTCTGTTTTCCCTCCTGAGAGTACCACATGCCTGCTGTCAGTACCATCTGGAGGTGAGAAGGGGACAGAGGATGAAGAAAGAGCAAAGGCAAACAGTGCACAGTGAATGCTCTTGCGCAAGCACGCACCACCTTTCTGTAGGATGCCAAAAACCAAACATGGTTTGAGTTCAGCCATCGCTCAAACACGGCTGTATCTGTAAATTCAGCCCTCTAATCATGAAGAGCAAGAGCAAAGAGATCAATCCATCCAGCCCACTGGGCATCGCCCTGTGTTTGGTAAGCTCTGATTGGCGTCATTAAGTCCAGGTTTCTGTTTGGAGAGTTCAGTCTCCTCCTCAAACGAAAAACAAACTCAATGAAAAGGTAAATGTACAAAAGGATCTTGCTCACCTCGAGGTCTCTGGTGGGTGCCGAACTCTGAATAATGCCGAGGGCAGTTCTCCTCTGCCATCTGCATCCAGCCTTGCTTTGCCTGGGCCCAGACTAGGGAATCATCACCTTTGCAGTAACTTCAGAGAGCACTCTCAACTTGTGCAATGGTCCTGCTGTTGCTCAGACTCCCTTGCAAAGATCAGGAAGTTCAGAACCCAGGCGGTGACTTTGGCAAGGGCAAGGTGAGGCTGGCAGAGCTCAATCAGAGGAGGGAGATAAGTCCAACTGAAATGACTCCCTTGAGGTGGCTCCAGCATGGGACTGCAGGCAATGTCAAACCGCAGCCTGTCCCTCCTCCTGCAAGAACATTTATCACTGAAAAAGGACAGCTTGTTTCTGAAACACTTTGGGAAGACCATGGTCATGGAGCCACTCCACCAAAGCTGGGGTTTTCCTTCAGCATGGGGGGGTGCCTTCCCCAGCAGAGCGCTGGCTGCTGCTCACCCCTGTTGAGAGAGGAGCCCAGCTGAGCCTCATCCACCAGTTTATCCTGTAGGAGCTCACTGCTGGGACTGCCCATCAGCAGCCACTTCAGACCTGATGGAGTAATCACTGGAAGGTTAACTGGGGAGGCGCTCATACGTTGTAATGCATGGATCACTTCATTAGGGTGTTTATTTCTGCTATCACCATCCTTTGCTAAAGCAGCCTAGAGAATGAGAAGACTGAAGGCACAGGAAGTGCTCTTAACGAGACATATATCTGAATGTGGATCATTCCTCTTGGTTCAGGTGAAAACAGAGCCATTTTAGGTAATGTTTGCATCCTGTAATGGTTCCTTCAACACTTACATAGACAAGGGCAGCAACTGGAGATTTTGGTAAAAGCAGTAATTACATAGAAGTGGTGTTGGGAAAGGAGGAGGTAGGAAAGTACAGGTGAAAAGAGAGTTCATATGATGTAAAATTATCGTACTGTTTAATTGATATACTGCAGGACACTGTTCCAATGGTATGGGGAAAAAGAAATAATGATCAGTTAACTCATTATTAATGTTCATTTTCTTTTGCAGAATTGCCAGAGGCTTGAGTTAATTATTAAGCATGACAGTTGGGCTTTAATATATCAGCTATAGATTCCAGTCACAGCAGTCTAGTTCAATAATTGGGTCTCTTTCTGCTTCATTTTGACTAATAGCATACTTACAGCAATTATTAACATTCATCATCGCACAGAAATAGGCCGTTTGAAACCTCACCAAAAATGGCAGCACAGCAGACCTCAGCTTGTTATTTAGTGCTGAATTCAAAGCAGGTACTTGGAAAACATTGAGCAACTTCTCTGATAACTTCTGAACAGTCACATCAGAACATGGATGTCCACTGAAAGCCAGCGATGCCTCAGGTGAGCCGCGGCAGTGTCAACCGAACAGGCTGCATTCAGATTGCACAGGAAAATACACTTACCCCTGGAAATGCAAATTCATACACAGTTCTTCAGCTACAGGTAGTTCAGTCATGGAATGTGGTGTTTAAACACTCTATCATCAGACTTTGATAGTCCCCCTTCAAATGGCTGTAGGTGCAAACGGACACAGCTTCTGCCATGAGGAAACTGAATCAATGGAGCTGTTGGAGTGAGGCCAGAGGCCACAGAGATGCTGCAAGGGCTGGAGCAGCTCTGCTCTGGAGCCAGGCTGAGAGAGCTGGGCTGGGGCAGCCTGGAGAAGAGAAGGCTCCTGAAGGGGAGACCTGAGAGCAGCTCCAGTGCCTAAAGGGGCTGCAGGAAAGCTGGAGAGGGGCTTGGGACAAGGGATGTAGGGACAGGCCAAGGGGAATGGCTTTAACCTGCCAGAGGGGAGACTGAGATGAGCTCTTAGGCAGAAGCTCTTCCCTGTGAGGGTGCTGAGGCGCTGGCACAGGGTGCCCAGAGAAGCTGTGGCTGCCCCATCCCTGGCAGTGTTCAAGGCCAGGTTGGACACAGGGGCTTGGAGCAAGCTGCTCTAGTGGAAGGGGTCCCTGCCCGTGGCAGGGGTTGGAGCTGGAGGAGCTTTAAGGTCCCTTCCAACACAAACCAGTCTGGGATTCCATGATAATGATGAAATCCTCCTTACCAGTCTTGTAGCCTCTTTAAAGAAGTAGTTTAACTTCCAACAGGAGCACAGCCCCACATAAGCATACTCAATGTAAGACCTACAGGTATCATGTCAGTCAGCAGAAGTCCTGCACATTCCCCCCATGCTAGAGAGGGAGGGGCCTTACACCATAACTGACAATTAAGCAAGATTTTGAGTGTTGAAAGAGACAATTAGTTATAAAAATATAAAATGAATACAGAAAACTTGAGCAGAGCCAGGCTATAGCCGCTGGAGAGGGGCTGAAAGGACTGCAAGCGTCTGACTGACCATCTCTCACAAGTCCACCAAAGGGATGGAGCCAAGGTTTTGAACAGACACATGGTATGGTGAAGGCAGTAAAACCATTATAGACTCGAAATCTGTTCACAAGTGAACATAAGGTCAAAGTAATCAAGAGGCTGGTAAATGCCTCACTATTATAAAAGGCTGGATAAATTTGTGCTTAAACATGACCCACATAAATCATCACCTCTTGTGCCCATCACCTGGGCTCTGTTCAGGCAATAGCCCTTGAAACAAGTTGCTCCTGTGGCTGTGCTCTGGCTGTAGCCCGCACAGAGAAATGGGTCACCACAGGCCCATAGAGGAGCAGGGAGAGAAACTGTAGTTGCACCTTGAAGATGAAAAGGGAGCAGTTTGTACCTGAACAGCACTTTCACCCCCTAAATGATCTAAAAGTGAAAGCAGAAAAGGCTTAGTAATGAAACAACCCTCGGATTAATATTTGAGCAAAACTAAAGGCTGGAAGGGTAACAAGGCTTACCCCAGAGATCAGTCAGCGGCACTGATCACAACACTGATCACTGATCACATCACAACCAAACTCATCCTTCAGCCACTACAGCAGGAGAAGACCGTGGAAGGGAGAAAACACCAGTTTGTTAGATTTGCTCTGAAAGAAAACCCCAAGGAGCACCACGCGTCCACACACGGTGCTCCATCGTTTCATGCTATTGTTAAGAGCCTTGTTCTATGTGCTCCGATGCTGCAGAGCCCACCAGTAGGCTGAGCAGGCTGAGGCTTGGAAAACCAGAGAACCCCATAAAAGGAGTGGAAATGATGCTGTAATTGCTGGTTTGCATAGTTGTCTGCTTAAATGATCACCTCTACATAACCAGCTGAGCCACTCCACCTGGGAAGCAGAGCAGAGCACACTGCACACTGTGCACACACAGTACACACCTGCACAGTGCATATCTAATGCTGTAGGTGCATATTGAAATGCAATAGATTTTTATTTTGAAATAGATTTAGCAAATGATGATCCAAGACACTGCATTATACTGAACACATGGACTGCTAGCATGAGAGGAAGCCTGAGTTAAATAACAGCTATTTGTAATACCACAGGACATATGTAGAGGATTATTCTTTCCCCATGTGGAGTGACTTAGGTAAACAAGTCGTAGAAACTGCAGTAAAAGATGCAAAGCCTGTTTCAAACACAGCCGTTCTGAAATGAAGTGTTCTGTGCCAATATGGGGTGAGAACACAGTTCAGACAATGTTGTGGCAAGAGTTAAAGATTTCCCATAGCAAGGAGCTCTCTGGAGATGTACTAAAATACACATGGTTTTAGGTGAGACAAACCTACATGCGGCATCCTCTTGGTTTCGTCCCAGTTTTGGACAGTAGCTTTCAACTATGTGTTAAACCTGGCTCACCTGCCTTACGAGCCTTCACTCAACAATCACACCAGTCACCTCACATGAAGGCTTTGAGTGATCTCTGAGACCCCTGGGTACCCTGTAGGGTTTTTGGATGGTTAGGTTTTGGGTTTGGGATTTTCCTGACACTCCAGTGTGAAGGACTGCAATATAAACTACCCCAAAATGGCATCCTGCAGCACTACCCACCCGCTTGGCTTGCCAGTTGCTCTTGCACAGGCAAACAAAGGGCTTCACAGGAGCTGCTCCTTGGACTCCTTCATCTTCTCCCACAGGCACTGAGGGCAAGGCAGGCTCACTGCAGTGCTCACAGCTTGTGAGCAGAACTGCCCAAGGCCTCTTCATGGCATTTACCTAACACATCCCCATCACAAGTGCTACTTGTTTCATGTAGGTGTTGTGAAGTATGAAATAATCTCAACCTGAAGCAGTTGCCATAACATTCCTGTGTCTCTGTTCCAACTTTTTAGACTACTCATTCCACTGCAGTAACCAGCATTCAGAAAATACCAGGAATGCAGTTCAGTTACCTGGTGCGCAGCAGATGCTGCTTTGGCGTTTGCAGTAATGGAGTGAGTAAGCTCAGACATGGCTGTAGCAAACCCAGAGTGCTCTGCACCAGCGCAGCAGTGCAGAGACAGCACAGGCCCACCTGCCCACATGTCCTCTGCATCGTGAGAAGCTTCTGCTCGTCTTCTGGCCATGCACAGTCACATGGATATGAGCACAGAGACATGGCAGGAGTGACCAGGATTAATAACCCTTGGCTGAGCATCATCAGATGGCATCCGCATCTCTGCTCAAAGTTCGGTCCACACCCAGAGCATGAAACAGGAGCATGTGCTTCAAGCCCCACCAAAGCACTTGCTGGCACCAGCACCTCTCTCTCATCAGGTGTTTGCACCCCCTGTGCAGATTTCTGTTTGTTGATTTAAAAAAAAAAGGTAATAAATCATAAATGGTTCCTGAATCCACTGCGGCAGTTTCGCACCTCCCTGTTCTAATCAACAGTAGCAATTCGACAGTTATAAATTGCATTTGTAAAGTGTCCATCTTACCTAACACCTAACTTTTAAACAAACTTTACAGGTGCTCCTTGTCTTTAATATTAAAACATAAATGAAGGGAAATTCTTACACCCGAGGCCACACTGCTGGTGGCGGTGTCTGTCTGTGTTACCTGTCCGGTTTTCACCACTCATAGAACATCAGGGAAGCAATGTGGGACAGCATCGAAGACCCATGGAGGTTTTAAAACCCACGTAGTTTGTTCATGTTTCAGACCTGGGCTCCATTTCCTGGTCTCACCCTAGAGGCTACATCTGTGAAAGACCAAAAAATAACCATTTCACTCTTGCTGTGCTGGCACATGCAGTTCCTCCACAGCCACTATTCTCTCCAGGAATATTACAGTGCACCAAATGCCAAAGTTCTAATTTCATTGGTCATAGTTTTAGCTAAGATAGAAGCTTGTTCTTCTGTATCACGCTATTGGACATAATACCTGTTTATGTGTGGTTTTGTGGAGTGACCAACCTATGCAGCTCAGAGATACCCAGAAGAAATAAGTGTAGATATAGAACTGAAGCTGCTGGTTTGCTCATATGTGTATTCGGGTCAGGGTTTCTGAATCAATCATTGCAGAACATCAAGTAAGTATCAGCATAGAGGCAGCCTTCTCACCCAGCGTTGCTTGTGCAATAGAAACAATAACAGTCTTTATTTAAAGGCATATTTGTTGTTTTCTAGGACAATTTGGGAATCAAAGGTGTTTTTCCAGCCCCTCATCTTCACAGACGCTGCAGTGCACACTGGCTGCTGAACACCACCTTTACATGAGCTCCTGACTGATCAGCCAAAACCTCTTTCTTGTCACCAAGCTCATCCTTAGCTACGACTCTGCACATTCAGAAATTAACTGATAATGGAAGGTTTTATCCCCCTAATAACAATAATGCAGGATAGTAGCAGATGCAGTTTTACACTTTAATCAAAACCTCGTCCCCAGCGATGCTCCAGAGTTACCCAAGAGTTCAGGAAAGTCCCAGCTCCCTCAAACACAAGTGCTCCAGCCCAGGACATTTCATTTCATGGCCCGAGGCAGCAAAACACCACTGTTACAAGGCTCTGATGCCAGCGATCCACACTCCAGAGCAGATACTCTCTTCTCTTGCTACTGCTTTTCTTTGGCAGGGGTGGAGGAGTGGGAGATTTAACTACTGAGCTCACCTGGGGCTGATCAACATCTAGGAAACGGGTTTTGTTGTCTCTACGTGAGGGCTCAGGAGTAGGGTCCCAGCCAGGTCCTGTCTGCGCCAGGGATGTCACCTCCTGTACACACACCTCATAAAAGCATTAGAAACCACGGGCATGCCCCTGCTGTGTTTGCATTACTGTGGGGTTATGTCAGTGCTTCCATCATAAAATCATTTCAGCAGGTTGTAAGTCAGGTGTAAAAACTCTCTTTGGGCTGAAACTTGGCACGTGCACACATGCAAACAGACACACACAGCCTGATTTCTGGGAATGGGAGAACAGGGGAGAGATCTGCATAACTTCTGGATCCTGAGCAGGAGCAGAGGATTTTCTGTGGGGAATTCCCATGGGGAGAAGCTGCACAGCGCCTGCAAGGGCAGTGGGGAAGGCAAGGACTGCTACAGGTGTGACAGAGAAAGAACTGTCCTGCACTGCCATTCCCAGCCCCATCCCTCCTAGCTCTGCAAATGAAAAGGGAAAGGTGACTTGTCTGTCTCGATGTTAAGGTCCCTCTCCAAGGGGCGCTTGGACACTCTCCAAGCTCAGTCTAAATGTGAAAGTGTATGTGGACTCCCCTGCATGTACTGCAGTCCCCTGGTGCAGCGAGAAACCTGGAGAGGGGCTTGGGACAAGGGCCTGTAGGGACAGGCCAAGGGGAATGGCTTTAACCTGCCAGAGGGGAGACTGAGATGAGCTCTTAGGCAGAAGCTCTTCCCTGTGAGGGTGCTGAGGCGCTGGCACAGGGTGCCCAGAGAAGCTGTGGCTGCCCCATCCCTGGCAGTGCTCAAGGGCAGGTTGGACACGGGCTTGGAGCAAGCTGCTCCAGTGGAAGGGGTCCCTGCCTGTGGCAGGGGTTGGAACTGGATGAGCTTTAAGGGCCCTTCAACACAAACAATTCCATGTTCTCTTGGAAGCCCACAGACCAAGCCAAGCCTTAAAACAAGCTTCAGGTTAGTCTGGATGCCCCTCTGCAAACTGCAGAGGAGAAATGCCCTTATATAACCAGGACTTTCCTCGGACTCCACTACGAAGCGTGCAAACCCCACTGCTATCAGAGGACCCTCCTACAGGGCCCTCCAATTTCAGCGCTACTAGTGAAAGGAGAAATCATGCAACTCGAAGCTACATCCAACAGTGTTTGTACAGGACATTCAGGGGGACCAGGGGAGGAGTTTTTAAGAAGCATAAAGGAAAAGAAACCCTCTTGCTGTCTCTTGACTCTTCACCCAGCTCTGGACCAGCTCCTTGTTTCAGAACTTGAGGCTTCCTACCAGAAGAGAGCAGGGCAGGGACTGACTGTGGCTGCAGCATCCTTTGGCTCATTTGCAGCTGAAGGTGTTCAGCATACTTGACCTTTTGTAATGCAACAAGTACATTTTCTTCACACTTACTTCACAGCTACAAGTCTCCTACTAAAACAGGCCAAACTTCAAGCAGCCATTTGCTGTGACATTTTGTTCCCTGAATAACACAATGCTCCACCTTTATGTCAGTTTTACTGTAGTTTGCTGGGTCAAAAATCCATGTCTAGCCCATGGGAGGTGAGTCATTACCCCATGTGCTTCCACTCCTGCTGCAGCTGCAGCCCTCCTAGAGTCTAGATGATGAACATACATTAGGAAGAAACATACAGAAAGAACTATAATAATATATTACTGTATCATCTGGTGATAAAAAAAGGGAACATGGGTGACAATAAGGGTATTCTTATTCAATTTCATGCAACCATATTCAGTGATATTAATGGTTTGAGCATTAGTATCCGTCATCCCAACTAGGAATTATCTGACTTTCTGGTTACAGACACCGTGTGAGCTCAGGAGCCCATTACAGCTCCATCTTTCCATGGCACACACAGCACCAGCTCTCAGTGACTCTTCACTGAGCAGACCCTGAGCACGGGGTGATACCAACTAAAAACTTCCGAAGGATAAATTATGAGGAGTATCATTCCAGCAGGAACTCCGATGGTTATCATGAGATAATCATCACACATCTGCATTTATAAGACATAGGGCATAGTCTGGTGCTTTCCAGTCCCGAGTGACATGATCTCATAACCACACACCCCTGGAGCTGTACTGTGGCTGCTAACGGAGTGCTTTATGGTGGGGGAAGGATGCTTTTCTATGCTGGAAGAACATGGAATTGGCAGCTCATTGCTGTAGTTTACACAAAGCTGTTTGTTCCTTGTAAACAGATTTATTTTCCTTCAGTGGTAGGGACCCAGGAGACTCACCACACAGCAGTGTAACAGAGAGCATCTTCTTGCAGCGCAGCACCAGGGGAAGCATGGACCTTCCGGCACGGGCAGAGTGCTCCCACGGTGATTATTTAAATGAAGAGGTGTAGTGAATATGTAAGGTTAGATAAGGTCAGGAGATTCTTCTGCTGTATGAATGAACTCCCCACTATTTGTGTTGCTGTGGTTCCAGGCATTCAGGCTCCTGCTGGGCTAATAATCCTTCCCAAACGGAGCTGGTGCCATGTTACTCATTCCCTGGGTCTGTCTATGACTATTTGGCTATTCCTCAGGAGCTATGGCTCTAACCCAGTCCTCTGCTTTCTAATCAGTAGTAAGCAAGATTAAAATGTCCCTTATCACCCATGCAGAGAGATCTGCTGATACCGACCCACACTCACTATGGAAAACACCCATAGCCAGAACACCACCCTGGTAAGGCCCTGGTTGACACATGCTGCCATGTCACCGCCGAGGGGCAGCAGGAGAGCTCTGCTGAGCTCCAGCTCCCCCAGCACTCCTGCCTCCTCAGGTGGATGTGGGGCCTGTCTCCACCCAGCCTGCCCCACTGCTTCCCCCCGGGGAACATGGGCAGTGCCCATCAGCAGCCGAGGCAGCAATGGAGCTTGCACAGATGAACTTCAGCTCGCTCTGATCTCACCAGCTTGGTGTCCAGGAACAGCACAACCCTGAGCCAGCCACGGGCTCAGCAGGGATTGCAAAACCTGCTGGAAACCTGCAGCAACACTTGGGTAGTTTTCCATACTAACCTCCACTTGTCCTGTGCTGTTCACGGTACCTGTGCTGGGTGAACCCAGGATGGAGATGCTCTTTGAGCCGAGAGGAACTTTTGGGGCTGGCTGCTTAATGGCAAGGAGGTGTCAAACTGAAGAGTTACTGGTGGCCTCTGTCTGCCCTGCCACAAATCAGGGTAAGCACTGTGGTCTCCTTCCCCAGTCATAGAACCCCAGACTGGTTTGGGTTGCAAGGGAGCTTAAAAGCCCATCCAGTTCCAACTCCCTGCCACAGGCAGAGACAACTTCCACTACAGCAGCTTGCTCCAAACCCCATTCAACCTGGCCTTGAACACTTAAACCTTCCCACCTGGTTTATTCCTTCCACATGCTGGGAGATGCACTGGAGGGTGGAGGTGGAGAAAATGGTGGCAAGTGGACCAAGCCATTTACACAGGAGAGAAAGAAGGGCAGTACTTTTCTGCAGCCCTGTTTTTTCTCCACTTCCTGCTCCAGCAGCTGAGGCAGTGCTGGAAAGGCTGCCCGACCCCTTTTCCTTTGTCCCATGCAGAGCTTCTACAAGCTCCTGAGAGAAGAAAGGAGAACTCTGACCCAGGCTCCAGCTGCCTGATCCTCTCCTCTCACAGCACAATCCTCACAGTGGGATTGTTCCTCCAAGAAACTCTGCAGCCCCCTCACTGCAAGGGCTTCCCGCAGCATCTCCTGCTGCACCTGGGCCCAGCCACACACCAGCATTCCCGGTGTCCCTGGGGATGGAGCTGCCCCTTTCACACTCTGCTACCTACCGGGACTCCATTCTACTCTCCTTTCCACCCCAGGAGATGGCAGCTGCTGCATGCCCAGTG